ACTTTAGTATCCTTAATTAGACGTAATGGCTTTGTTATTCCTCTTTTATATTTAATATATTATAATAATCATTGCATCTTACAGTTTATTATATATAGATATATATATTTTTTTTTCTATAAGTAGCTAATAATTGTTAACTGTGTTTTATGTTTACGTTACAATGTGTTTACCTATTGTAATTGTTGAGATATTGTAGTAATAATAGTAATAAGTAGGTGTAGGAATACTGAAAATAAACTAGCTAATTAATTTCAAAGCATTACGTTATTACATTTCCAAGATTCAAGAGATATTCACCACAGCATAATCACCCGTTTCAAGATTGCCTTATATGATAATATTATTAACTAATTAATATTAACTGATTATTATTAATAGCAGTATTCTCCTAGTGGTTTCAAATTGCGACTTTCATCCCTGGGCCCGTAGGTTTGATCCCCGGCTGTGTGAAACACTCGTTCGTACGGTGAAGGAAAACATCGTGAGGAAGCCGGCATACCTTATACCCAAAAAGTCGACGGCGTTTGCCAGGCACAGAAGGTCGATCACCTACTTGCCTGTTATAAATGATCGGGACAGAAACAGAAATCTGAGGTAAACCTAAAAGGTTGTAGCACCCAAAACAAACCAGAGAAGTTCACTTGCTGCGATCACAACTATATATAAATACAATTATATCTATGATACTATTTGACATGTCCTGTATCTATGTTCAATCGTCCTGTATGTATGAAATAAGGTTGATTTGTAGTCAAATGATCGTAAATACAACGCTAAATCAATTTGGCATTGTAACTCGACCTATAAACCATATTTGATAGATATACATTCAGACAACATACATTAAGGAAGCAACGGGCATCATTATTACAAGTGATCTCTTCCAATCCTAATAAGGAAAATAAAACAAGAAATACTAAGAGTAAAGTGCAAAAAGCGCATAATTAAATTTAAAAAATAAAAATAAAAAGTTACACTTGTTTTAAGAGCCCTAATCACGATGCCAGGTTTTGAAATTCATAAAAATAATAATAAAAAAGGATATCCTTAAGAGCTATAATTATTTGTTTATAGAGATAACTGGACAATTTTAAAAGAAGCCACAACATTACTTCGAAATGTTCACTTGTTCGGATTGTTTCGGATGTTTTATTGCTGCTGTGAGATAGCTCGTGGTGGTACGGTAATGATATCCTTTACTTGAAGGTCATAATGGTATACAAGGAATGAATATTCTCATTACTTTTTAATGATAATCGTGGTAATGATAATAAAACACGAACGTATTGCTCGACATATTTTATGATTATAATGATGTCGATCTATACAAATGGTATGTTAAAATAAAATAAAAATAAATCAGTGGCGCTACAACCTCTATAAGTCTTGGCCTCAGATTTCTGAATCTGTTTCATGATCATTAATTAAATCTTATAGGCAAGTAGGTGATTAGCCTCCAGTGCCTGACACACGCCGTCGACTTTTTGGGTCTAAGACATGTCGGTTTCCTCACGATGTTTTCCTTCACCGTTCGAGCAAATGTTAAATGCACACATAGAAAGAAAGTCCATTGGTGCACAGCCGGGGATCGAACCTACGACCTCAGGTATGAGAGTCTCACGCTAAAGCCTAGTACTAGGCCAACGCTGCTACGTTAGCGTAGCATTTCTAGAGCTCTGCAGCTGACAACACTAATGTTATGTAAATAAATAACGTCTTGACTCAAGTATTTATATATTTATAGGACAAACCAGTAGACAAGAAAAGACAAATACGATGCCGAAGCCTATTGGATTTCTTATAAAGCGTGGAAAAAGTACGATTTTGTCATTTAAAATAAATGATTGTCATGATAATATGTCATTAAGTTCACGTTCTAAAATGTTTGTCAGCTGCTTTTTTTTTAATTTTTTCGCATTAAAATGAAATAAACAGTAATTATTTTTTACGTGATTTAACCTTTTAATAACCAACTGTATCTGCTGTTTATGTATTATGTTTAACTGTGTACATTACGTTTAGTTATAAAAAACGCAATATTTCAGTGGGCAGCTGGTTCCTTATAGTGTGCAGCATTGTGCACGGCAAAAACTACGTTAAAGATTCATGTACCAATGTACCAGCGTGCCGAGCGTTGGTAAGTTTTTGAAAATGCAATAAAATAAAAACTATTTCAGGCAATTTGAGAAGTAAAACTTGAATGGCTTTGCATAATTTTACTACCATTAAAATTGTTTTAAAACACTTTGTATTTATTCATGTTTTAAAATATTTTTTTGATTATGTTGATGTTTTGATATATTAAGAACAAAATATTGAAAGCAAGTTTACTGCCAAACAAAACAAGACGGTTTTTAGTTGAGAAATAAAAGAACAATTGACTTCCGAAGTTGGATACATTCCAGAAATCAATTGTGTCTTAGTTTCAATATTTGATTTAATAAACACACAAAGTCTAGAATAAACAACTTTATAGAAAGAAAATAAAATTTTATACCGCTTTTTTTTGGAGTTTACTCCTTAAGAAACGATTTGAGTTATAAGGCCCGGTACGGAAATTTTATGAGGAGTAAAATCAAGTGTAACACGAAAAGTTGAGGCGTTATGTGTAACACGAAGAGTTGAGGCGTTATGTAGAAAGAGACAAATGGATTGAACGTGTAAAAGAATGAGATGGAATACATTACACAGACTTTTCTATTTTGAATTCACGTTTTGACAGCCACGTTACAACATTGTCAGTGTTGACAGGTGTAAAAAATAAAAGTAGATTGTCTAGCGTGCCATAGAGTTTTGTCAATAGTAATGGTCAGTGAAATTAAAACTAAAAAGATTGTTCATTCTTATTCTTCTCTTACTATAAAGGTAACTTTGGTCACAGAAAGAAAATCCTATTTGGGCATAGATGATGTAGGTACGTTTTATTACTACTACAAACATTTATATTATAAAAACATATATTCTTACCACCTTTAGTATGAAAATATGGTCGACAGCCACAGAACATTATCGCCATTTTATCGTTCGTAAGGAGTAAACTCCAATCGGGCGTCGTAGCTGACACACACACACACTTTCTTACTTAAATATTATAAATATATGTAGCATAAGTTTAAACTAAGATTACTTTTAAATTAAATTTAAACCATTCAGGTACCCTAGAGTCGATCTTTATTCAGAATGCGACGTCTTAACAGTCAGGCAACTATACATAAAAAATATAATTATCTATCAACATCAAAAATTAATTTATGATGATGCCATCGCAAATAGACGAACACATAGAGTCTGTCCCACCATTCAAGCTAAAACAAGTTATTTATAAAAATTTCAATCTTATACAGGCCCCATGTTGTACAATAGACTGAATAAAATTCAGAATATTTATCCCCTTAATATCTATGAATGTAAAATAAAACTGGTTGAGTGGCTAAAAACTCATAAATATAATGAAATAGAAAACTTGTTTGCTAATGTAAAATAATAAAATTTTCCTATTTAAAATATCTAACTTCACCCCTGAGAGTGTTCAAAAATTAATTTAAATAGAAAATCTTAATACTAAATTTTAGTTTCCATAATTAAAACAAAAATCTTTGTCAAAGTTCACATCTACTATGGCCTAGCCAATTGCAAAACCTTTTTTAGATTCTACCCTCATTTAGTTTAATAAACAATAAAAATATAACCCGAATAAACATCTAATGACAAACAACTTAACCTATTTGTTAATGACTCCGGAAGGAACTAGCGTTTAAGATACAGGCTAGGCCTAATTTAAACGCTAGTGCTCATAGAATTATTTAATGTACGAGGTTAACCAAAATGAATAGTGAGAACACAACGATTCGAAGGTACGACAACAATATTATTTCAGATAAAGAACTTGGTGTATCATTTCCCTTCTCCATAATATTTGAACAGCACATACACAGATAAAAAATCATTACAATTGCAGTTTCAATAAATACTCGAGCAGGTACCGAGCGAGCTATCCGACAAATTAATATCGGAACTATTGAAATCTTTTATTAAAATGAGAATGTAAGTCAAGCTTTTATCAAAAACCTTGTTGAAATAACTTGAGGTTGAAAATTTGTGATTCGTATTTTGGTTTCGCTATTCTCCTTTTATTGGCAAAGGCCTTGTAATAAATAAATGGAAATAATATCATACATAAAGTTCTCGTGTCTCTCTCGACCGATTCTTATGAAATTTTTTATGCTGAGAATCGGCTACTATCTATCTTTCAAACCCCAAAATTTTTTATTTTATTTTTTAGATTTTTTTTTATGATACAACCTACAAAAATACCTATACTCCTTAATTTTCACCCCTCAACGATCAACCCCTATTTTTATTATTAGATAGATAGTTCTTTTTATTGAACTAAAAAAATGCTTCCTAGAAATAATATACATGGCAAAACAACGTTTGGCGGGTCACCTAGTAATATCATAAATAAGCGTCGTTTTAGAGAGTTTATTATAAAAGCAAGCTTCCATTGCTTGTTAGTACCAGAAATCAAACAAGGAAGCCCTCAGTTTGGCTTATATGTATGTGTTGCAATTGGATAGTACATGAATATGATTATCAATTTAAGTTTACGTTAATATGTTACTTTGAGCCATATAAGTCGTAGTTATTTAGAAATGGGCGAAAACATTCTTGGACGGGACCTGTCTAACATAGAAAACTTATGTTTTATAAGTAATTTAAATTACTTTTATTTAATTCCATCTTTAATTGAAGTGATTTTAAAGAATGTAAAGATAAAATTCTCAAAGGCGGGAAACACACTGGCGAGTCCTCTGGCATTGAGAGTATCCATGGGCGGCGGTATCAGATGAGCCTCCAGCTCGTTTGATAAAAATATTCATAGTAAAAATAATAATCCCCTATTTAATAAAAAAAAGTATAATAAATATTATAATTTAAACATGTTAAAAAATAATAAACCCTACATATAATTATGATTATTAATACATAATAATAGTCTAGACAATATCGTGTATCTTCCTGCCTCTATTAATAAGATTCAATCCATCCACAAAATTTATGGAAGTCCTTGCCATACCTCGAGGCTCTGGATTGTCGACATCTTCACTTATCGGCACGTACGATTTAAAATAATCATTTTCTACTCCCGTCTGTTTCGTTTCTTTTTTCAACATTTTCTTTATTTCCTTTAACATAAATTTTATTTTTTCCAAGTTCTGTGCGTCACTCGGCCCACTGTTGACTCTTGTAACTTCTGGTTGTATAACAATGTCAATATCATTTAAATCTTGATGGATAGCATCATCATGTAAATCATTTTCTTTTCGACTCACCTCTTCACTTATATCCTTTATGGAAACTTCTTGAGACTTATTAGAAGGTCGATCTTCAGGTTTTTCAGTCAAATTAACATGAGGCGTTTCATCTATTTTTAGTTGTTGAGGTACACCATTTGTTTTAAAATCTAAATTACGCAGCATAATGATTCTTGAGTTTCCATAAGTCATTAATAATTCGCACGTGACAATTAAAAATATTTTAAGTATCATATTTACCGTGTAGGTCATTTGTTGCGACTGCATTGAAATGGCAAGCCGTGGTGGATTGAGGCGTGAAATTGAGGTAATGAAATGCATTGTTAGATCATTGAGGCGGGAACGTTGATGATTTAAATTAAAATCTAGAAAATTCGAATTATCTACGCATGATTAATTTTTAGCCATATTAAATGAGTGTAATGTAGGTTGTTTTTCTGAATAAATGCGGAATTATAAAAATCTGATTGTTTTACTAATTTTTATATTAATGTACATACAATTCAGAATTATTAATAGCTACGAGCCAAAATATAGATGATATATAATAATATTTTGTCCATTTATTAAAATATCTTAAAGAAAAAACTTGAACATTAAAGATCCATAGATTTCTTTTAATTAAAATAATTTTAGAATAATAACAGCCAAACATTTTAATAACCTGTCTGTTGTAATTTACCACATTTGTGGGAGTCAGCAATTATCAACAAGTTGGCAACACTGGGGATTGTTCAGCTAAATGCTTTAATGGACTACACACAGCGAACTTCTAGTATTGATCCAATTGAAATCAACGTCAAAGTTGCACTTTAAGCTTCAGATTTTTTCGCTTTCAGCAAATTTCATTGCGAACGTGCATTCATAACGAAATTTCATGTGACTATGTGTTTACAACTATGAACAATTGTAACCACAGTAACTTAAATAGCTAACACATTAATGGCAAACTATTAATAAGTCACATTGCGTATAAAAATCAGTGGTGCTACAAATTTTTTAGGTCTAGGCCTCAGATTTCTGTATCTATCTAGCAATTTAATAGGCAAGTAGGTGTTCAACCTCCTGTGCCTGATACACGTCGACTTTTTGGGTCTAAGGCAAGCCGGTTTCCCCACGAAGTTTTCCTTCGCCGTACGAGCGAATGTTACTTGCGCACCACAAGTCCATTAATGCACAACCGGGGATAGAAACTACGACCTCAGGGATGAGTCACACGCTGAAGCCACTCGGCCAACACTGCTCTCATTACCGTATAAGATTAAGTTAATTATTGCCACAGAAATAATTAGAAAAATTATACACAATATTTTATGCCTTCCTGACTTGTCAGCATCGTTATCGTTATAAAAAAACTATCACTCGTTTGTATATGACAAAATACTTTTAAAACAACAACACTTATTAACACCTATTAACTGCCCACAACACAGGGAATCTTAGTGTGGGGGCCAGTGCACTTAACTTTACCTAAATATCCTGTATATTGTGTATAATAAAGTTTTCTTTTCTTTCTTTCTAAGAGATTAATTTTTTAGGTACTTCTCGCAACAGAGCCTTTACAATAATCCAATTTAATTACAAATTCGATTAAACGTCGGCTGATTGATTATTTTTTTAGAATAACAATTTTCCACTCGAAAAGTAATTAATCAAGTCGGCAGTTTCAATTTCTTGGCCTCAACATAAAGCTGTTTCATTAAATTCTGACTTATATTTTTTTTACCTGAATATAGAATGAATGAATTAAAACAAAAAACTTGGCGATTAAAAAGAGTAGCGGACAGTTTATTGCCAGTTCTTCTCTTCCGTTCTACGTCCTTGATTTGAGAACTGGCAGTAAATGTAATATTAGAAGCATTTCATATATATTTATTTTTTAACGTTCATAAGAGTACCTATATGAATAAATATATTTTTGAATGATGTCTTACGGCACGTATAAAACAAATAAAATACAGCGTTTCTCATTTTATTAATTAATGTTTTGTTACGAATTAATTAACACTACTTTTCATTAGAGCGATTTTTTTATATAACAGCGGGAAAACGGGCACGAAGCATGTGATATCGCCGCCCATAGACACTTACCTACACACCAGAAGGATCTCAGGTGCGTTACCGGTATTTAATGCCCATAGTCATTATATATGTAATATACACGCTGAGGTCATGCGTTATGTTCCATCTGTATATCTATAGATACCTAATACTTTTTAAATTTAAATTCAAAAATCATTTATTCATTTAGGTAACACAATGTAGACTTACGAACTTCAATTAAGAAAATAGATAATTAATGCTTAATAAAGGGCGTAGAACGGACGAGAAGAACTGGCAAACTAAATTCTCCGCCATTCTTTTAATCGCCAAGCTTTTGCTTAACAAAATGTTTTTAAAGTGCTGCACCATGCACCATGTTCCACATGACATCTTTAAGTAATTATACTCATAAAAAAAATTTTTTTATCAGTGCACGCACTTACATTTTTCTTTAGAATAATAAAGGAAAACATCACGGAAACCGATGTTTAATTTCACAATAATCGACACAGTGTGTTTAAATTAAAAAACTGAATTACTCATCGACAAACTATTATAAAACGAAAAATGATTAATGACACAAATACGAAAATGTCTGGCCATTAATAATTGCGATACTTATTACTTATGATTAAAGACTAGTGGAAATCAATACATATCAAATTTAGTAACAAATATTTAACTTAACTAAATTATTAAGGTCGTGTAATGAGATATATCTTCAATCTCTAGGGTCAATGTGTTGCAAAATAAATAGGCTCAGCCGACCCAGATTTCTTGTTTCTGGCCCTTTTTTCGACCCAAGATGTTTTTACCGGGAAATAATAGAAAATGGACGGTAAAGTGTGGTTTGCTTATAAAGAATGTATCCTAGTAGGTGATACAGAATGGTTAGACAATTTTTATAATCGTCTGAAGAAAAGAAAACTGACCTGCCACTGACACTACCAGATTGCTACTATATTATATGGTACTTTGAGTGATGGAAGAAGAGACCTTATGTATGACTCAAAACTTGGCGATTAAAAAGAGTAGCGGAGAGTTTCTTGGCAGTTTTTCTTGCCCGCTCTCTTTACTTGCGAGCTGGTAGTAAATGTAAATTTAGAATCAATTTAACATCTTTTCTGTTGACGTTCATAAGAGTACTTGGTTATGTGTCGTATGCACCACTGCTTTGCTGACAGTTTACAAGTAATGGTTACACACAAATGTTATACTAATAAATGTGTGATTTTAAAGAAAAGATTATAAAAGAAAAAAATGTGTGCATGTACTAGTGTACACACGTAAGAAGTGAAACTTCTTTATGACCTTATTTTTCGAAAAATGATCTACTGTATGCAATTTTATAGAAATTGGTTAAATAAAGTTAAATTAGATAAAGTTTAACAAAAGGCTTTTTTTATCAAATATTTCATTTTACCTTATTAGTTAGTACTAATTACTATTATTAGATTATTACAGAATTTCATTAATTTTAATAGAATTATTACTATCATTGTTATTGTTATTATATATTTTTGTTTTTAATGGCTTCGAATCCACCGTGGTAGGGACAAAAAAAAGATGAGCGTAACGGATTAATATGATGGTAAATATTTTTCCAACGCCGATAAAGAAGTTTCACTTCAAAAAATCACCAAAAGTTGAATAAATAACTACGCAATTACATCTTGACGTACAAAATATTTAATTTGAAATTGTAGCGTCTGGTAAGCCGTAAAACGCAAACCTTCTCCATAAGTAATTTCTCTGTCAAAACAGCGTTCATCTTTCACCCGGCACAAAGGTAAGTAGGTCAAGACAAGACATCACTGATCCATTTATTTTGCATACAAACACCCGTGACCTCTCTCGTTAAATATGAATTTAATTTCGTAACCAATAGTGGGTGAAACAGAGGAAATTACGTGAGGCAACCCTAATAAACTCCCAGATTGGGTAATTTTTTCGTTAGCATAGCAAATTGGGTAGAAATACGAGTCGTTTTCTTGAAATTAGGGAGATTTTAACAAACATTCATTCGTAATTATCTTGTTTTTAGGGTTATGTGATGTTTTTAAGAAAGTATTAAACTTGTGTCTGAGCCAGTGTCAGTCTAGTGAGCTTTTTTATAGTATAGGGGGGCAATCGAACCTACGGGACGCCAAAAAGAGCAGTCATCGCACGTCAAACGCCGCAGATTCTGAATTTGTTTCTAAAACACTCTTCTTCTCATCATTTTTTAATAGGCAAAAAGGCACTGTCAAAAGCACTCATAGAAACAATAGGCCATTGGTGCACACTGCACAGGCATACGAATGCACGACGAGGGCAACACTGTTCATTTTCACAATCGGACGTCAAGTCAGAATACGAAATTCCACCCGTATCACTTCGACGCCCGTCGTTCCACCACTGAGCGTATTAAGTCAGTTTTGCCGCGCACCACCACTTTGTGGAACCAGCTACTCATTGAAGTATTTCTCAACCAATACGACTTTCTGGCAATGTGTCCATGGGTTATCACTTAACATCAGGTTACGGTAACGGAGCCTGCCTCCTGCCTGTTATGCAGCAGTGTTGACCTAGTGGCTTCAGCGTGTGACTCTCATACCTTGGGTCGTAGGTTCGATCCCCGGCTGTGCACCAATGGACTTTCTTCCTATGTGCGCATTTAACATTTGCTCCAACGGTGAAGGAAAACATCTTGAGGAAACCGACATGTCTTAGACCCAAAAAGTCGTCGGCGTGTGTCAGGCACTGGAGGCTGATCACCTACTTGCCTATTAGATTTAAAATTGATCATGAATCAGATTCATCAAATCAGAAATCATCGAAGACCTAAAGAGGTTGTAGCGCCTCTGATTTATTTTTTATTTGTTGTTTTGATTATGCTAGACATATTTAACCAATATCATAATAATCTATGAAGTATTATTGTAATAATGTAACATTATTAATAAGTTACTTTGTGTAACTACTTATTAAGACACGATGAAGACAAAAGGAATGTAGAACATTCACGCACACAATACGTTGGTGGACAGTTTACGTAAACATCGAAACAAAAGAAATCTTTCAGTTCTAGGCGTTTTGACGCCATCTTTAGGGTTGCCGAAGTGTCGTAAATATTAATAGAA